GTCGTTCCGACCATTTTTCGCGCCGAACGTTCTCAGATTGGCTCCTTGAACACCGCCAAATTGATGCCAATTTTTCATCAAAAATCATGCTCAGCGACGAAGCGCATTTCACTTTGAATGGGACGGTAAACAAGCAAAACTGCCGCATCTGGGCGAACGAAAACCCCCGTGAGTATCAAGAGCAGCCGATGCATCCTCAAAAAGTGACTGTGTGGTGTGCATTGTGGTCAAAAGGCATCATCGGACCTTACTTTTTCGAAAATGCGGCCGGGGACGCCTTTACCGTCAATTCTGAGCGATATCACGTGATGATAGAGGGCTATTTTTTGCCGCAACTTGAAGGAATGGATATGGACGATGTTTATTTCCAACAAGACGGTGCAACATGCCACACAACCAACGTCAATATCCATCGATTGCAGTCCTTCTTCGGTGATCGCGTGATTTCGCGCAGAGGAAATGTGCCATGGCCACCAAGATCGTGCGATTTGACTCCCTTGGACTTCTTTTTATGGGGATAATTGAAAATCCAAGTCTACGTCAACAAACCAGCTACCCTCCAAGAACTCAAAAACAACATCATTGCCGAGATAAATGCCATAGAACCGACCATGTTGCAAAATGTCATTGAAAATTTCGACCATCGCGTGGACGTCTGTAAATCCAGTCATGGTGAACATTTGAGCGATATTATTTTTCATACATAAATGGTATAAATGAACCTTCAAAATAAAGTACCCAACTTGATTTGAATATCAATCTTTCTTGTTTTAATATGCGTTCACTTTCCTGCGTCCGTTTTGGACTAACTTTTTTACTATTAGTCGGACCTTTTTACCTGTGATCTCATTCTATGGGTCTCATAAATAACTGAAAATCTTATTTGAAGACTTTTTTCATTCTTGAAAAAAACTTTCGACTGAATCCCAAAAAACACTCTCATTCTTTATTGTCGAATAGAAAGTTTTACCACAAAAATTGGTGGTGAGTCCATGATTTAAATACCCCCTTGAACAACTTGCATCAATAAAACTAGACTTTACAATTATTTCGCAAACCACTGGTATTTTCGTGTAATATGATTAGACTAATGACTGCCTTTCATTTTAAAAATGTTCCAAAATAGCGGCCAGCCGCCATTATGACATTTTCAACTGTCACTTTTACGTTACGTGTTCATGTATAATTTTGCTTGACCTGTATCAAAAATAAATAGGTCCATCTAAAACCATTTTGAAAATTTTTGTAAAATAACTGAAGAAAATTTGAATTTCTTCTAAACTGCATACAAGGATGGGTTGAAAATTACTTGTCATGTATGACTGACTACCCTTGAAATGGAATTGACCGTTATGTCAAATGGCTCGCTATAATTGTTTGAATTTAAAGGACCTTGGAATACATGTCAAAATATATTGAATCATAGTAAATAGTAAATTGGTCTCGTCATCTTTGATATGTATTTCACAATATCGTCAACTAATCATTTCATGGAAAAGCGTCAGGTTGTGAGGTCAACGTATCTATAATATACTCATGGATTCTATACAGATGAGACTAGAGCTAAGAACACAATACACCCTGTATGACTTATATGTACAAGTTTTTCTATGATATCGCATAATCCATAATGAAGATAAATGTAAGTTACTAAATACCTATTTTTTAAATACAAAATTGGAATGATGAGTTATATAGAATATATTTTATAAAAATATGTGTTGGTGGTAGATTGTAGAAGACTACACACTGGTCTCGACAATCTTTTCGTTACACTTCTAGAAAAAACGCTAACAACGGTGAATTCACACAGGTGTTCAAGGTAATCAAAAATGTGTTTCATTATACGAAAATTGCACAGCAATATCTCGATTCAATTTAAATCGTATGCCAAGACAGTGTAACTTTCAAAGTGTATTTGTTTCGTGATCCAATATATATTTTTATCAACCCATACATACTTTTCCAAATACACAATGTTTAGCGTATCGGTATAAATGTTACCGAAGCTGAAATTACATAATTTGTTGCAATCTAAGATTTTGGTGAGCAGTCTCCGCACTTTACAAAAATATTCTTAATACTGTATATGAGCTGCAAAAACGCTAGTAAAAGGTGTTCAATTCCAGCAAACATCACAAACATGTAAGGCTACTTCAGTGATATTTCTTACGACATGAGGCAACTGCGGATCCACAAAACCACTGTTCTGTGGATTGATTTTTGATATCAAAACGAAAACATGTCTGTAGTTTGAAAATGCTTCCATATGCAGGAGTTAAATGTCTAGTAGCAAAACAACCTAGAACAATTCATTCAATAATAAATCTTGACGTTTCAGCTACTAACACATTCATATACTATATGCAACTAGTAATATTATACAACTCAAGAAACATAGGGACAATCAGCGCAAATGGCAACACTGTATGCGTTTGGTTAAAGAACCTAGCCAGTGTTACCATTCTGCATACACTATGATACTTTTAGATTTGATGTTAACAAATTTTATGTCAAGAAAATACTTTTAAAATTAGAACTTGTTCGACAAATAGGTTATGTAGGATATAGATTTTCAAACTACAGATAACAATTTCTTGCGTCAACAGACAAAGATATTTCAGAAACCTTTAGGCCTCTTTGATAGATACGCTTGATTTTACAGGATTTACAATTTCATAGCAAACATAAAAATTTAAAATCTGCATCAATTAACAAGCTTTTGGTAACATGATTCTAGACTCTCTGCAAAATATTAACAGTACTCTAGATATTTTATTCGGAATCAATGAAATATTTTACCTTTTAGAGATCATCTTTACTAATCCTAGAACATTTGGATAGATATACGTGTGTGTGTGTGTATATATAGGAACGCAATGATAAAATTTCTTAGATAAACTTAATTCGATTTTCCAATATGGGATACATTTTCTAGCTCTTTAAAATCAACAATCTAATAGTATCTCACTGTATAAATCTACTATTAAAATATACTTTTTCCATTAAGGTGTTCCGTAGTTATGGCCACTAGCATAGTTTGATAAGGATAACAAGATCGATCTAAATTGCGAAAATCAAATACGCGCTGTGTCCTATTTGTACTTGTGGAAAACACAAGAAAACATAATAAGTAAGACGCCGGAAATTAATCTGACTATACACTAAAAATTATAGTCATTACTATAGTTTCAATTGTCAGTGAAGTATGCACACCGATTTTCAATAATATTTTATCTGCAACCATGGTTAACGATGCATGTCCCTTTTCTTTTTGTCAAAACTGCATTTTTTGTGCATTTTTCCTTCAATCATAACATCTAAAATTGTATGTGAATATTCCATCCGTTTTTATGGAAGATTTTTTGAAAATAAAAAATGATCAGAATAAAAGTAATCACCCTCTTAATTCTGCTATAAAAGTGGAATTTTGACATGCACTTACAGAGTTGTACTAATATTTGTTAACAAGAAAAACTCTACAATAAAATGTACAAAAAAATTAATTGTTTTTTAGTCATCTCTATATACGCCATGAAATAATCAGATGAAAAGTATTTAGAATACTGCTCCTGGAATTTGAGAAAATGGAACATGCGACCCTAAGCGCCGTATCGTCAGTCATTCCTACATATTGTAAGACGCCTTTAAGGCCTTGATTTTCATAGTCATTTCTCTCCTTCATGAAGGCTGGGATATTTCTAGATTTATACTGGTCCGTGTCAGTGTCAGCACTCTCTTATTGTGAGGCTATATTTTCTTTTCAATTGCAGGAAATTTCAGGCTATATAACATAATATAAATAAAAAGCATGAAGAATTTGATGTAAATAGATATTTGTAACATAACCTCAAAATAGAGCGCTGACTTCGAGCACTACGAAAATCAGAACTGACGATACGACCCTAAGTGTAGGTTATGGATAGATTTCCTAGTGCGGTAAAGTAAGTTTAGCGCCCGCTCTTTTCGATTAATGCTTTACGATGAAAGCAATCTGTATTTATCTGCTGCTGAGCATGGCTACGCCTATGATCACCCAGTGAATTTTTGCCCTCTTAGGGGCCATTCACAACTTTTGACTTACTCTACAGACGATCGCAAATAAAACATTCAATATATCTCGGAAGTAATATGTGATTACGTGCAACTGCTTGTTATTACAACCCGCTTATTGGACTCGTACGCGTCTTACTTATTTGGTTTATCCATGCATATCTTGCGTCTATGAGCAACTGTATAGTCCAGGAAATATCTTCGCATCCTCTCGGAAAATATTCTGATTCAGTTCTTTGCATAATCTTGTTAATGTTGCCAGGCACAAATTGCGTCACAAAATATTTAAACAATACCAACATTTTTTTGCTTTGTTAAGGTTGCTTTGGTAATTTTGAACCAGAAATGTTCTCACGAGCTTCTCTCTAGTTTTCGAGATATAAGCGAAAAAATAGCGTAAAAAATTTGTGAAATTTACAAAATATTTTTCCGATAGGATATGAAGAGAATTCCTGGACTAATATTATTTTATGAAAGTACTTTTATTTAACCTCAAAACGCCTGCCAAAGTGAATTTGGACAGGCGGTTTATTTTTGGCTGTGAAATTAACGAAAGCTTACAAAAATTTCCAACTTAAATGAAAACAAGCCCTAAATTTAGGGAGAAAATAAATACATTCGTAATTATAATAGACAGTCTTAGCAATCACAAATAAGCCATACGTAACTGTTAAGTTTAAGGTTATTTTGATATTTAAGCCTATGATTCTCTGTAACAAATGTCAAAAGGCGTTTACGCATGCGGCATTTGTGATTACAAAAACTTTCCAATAAACTTTAATACATATAATCAAATAACAAAAACATAGAAAAATGTAATCAAATCAAATCAACAACGAACTTTGGTTTTTAATTTTGGTCAGGAGGCATTATCAGATGTTTTTCCTATGGGACGTGTGATCCAACAATGAGAAGCATTTAATACAAAAATAAGTAGGATGATTTTTTGTCAATTTCAAGTAGAAATATCTGTTATTTTAAGCTTCTATCATACATACATCCTATAACGATTTCAACCTGATAACACCTTTATTTTGGTCCCTGTCCTGAATATATAAATATCTCACAGCTCACTCATATTTTCTCTTCTTAAACATCCCCATGTTCAAGCGTTCCAATCTAACAACCGGCAAAGGTAGCTCAGTTTTCCTCTTAATGATTAACTTTGGTACCACCCCTGCCAGAGCTCGATTCGACTGTACCACTGCGTAGTCGCCCCCTACCTGCGTCACTGAAGACGTCGTCGGCGCACTTTTAAAATCTTCATCTGATTCACTTGAATCCGCGTATAGATTCCGAAACCTCAACTTCTTTTTCTTTGGCGGGAGTTTTTTGAAGTGCAGTTTGATGTCAGTTTCCTCCTCTTTCCTTACTTCGTAGCTAGAACTGCCGGGGTTTGTCTCAGGAGACTTTAGTTGCATGAGCTTTTTACAAAGGATGATCTCCTTTATTTTCTCAACTTCAGCTTCCGTCAGTTTATCGTTTTTTAAAAACCTCTGTATGATGTTAGGAGGAGATGGCTTTGGTTTAGTCAATTTGGGAATTTGTAGGTTTAAACTGCTCAATTTTGATTCTACTTGCTCTTTGTAAGACCGAAGGATTTCATCTTGAACCGATGAATGATTATTATTGTTTAGAAGATCCGTAGGATCCTTTTGGTTTCGACTAAGATTCACTTTTTCCTCGCAATTACTGTCAACAGCTTTTGAAACTTCTTCTAAGCTACTAGATCTCTTTGTTTGGCTGCTTATTGGTTTTGGATCGTCTACACTCATCGATCTTTTTAGTGGTACTGAAGTATTTCTCTCAGGCGGCTTGATGGTTATTTTCTGTTCTAGAACCTTTTCAATATTCGCTTTTTTAGCAGCTAACTCCTTCTCGGCCAATAGTTTTCTTTTCCTGATGTTGTACTCTTCCAAGCTAAGCTTGCGTTTTGAGTCCACTTTGGGCGGCGACTTTTCTTTCAATTTTGTGTTAGTTAGGGTTGAGCTAGATTCATTTTTTTCGTGACTATTTACTTGGACACGATTTTCTTTAACTTCTGGAGATTTTGGCGATTTTGCAAAATGCGCTTGTTCAGGTACATCATCTTTGACTTCAGAATAACACTTCTCAATTACTGTGCATCTTTCTTTAACTTTTTCAACAGGTAAAATTGGTGGAACCCGATCCTCATCAACTGTCGCAACTAAAGGAACTCTGTCATTTTGAACTGCTTTTACTTCATCTAGCTTATTAGTAGAATCAGCCTTGCACTTATCTTTTAACTGCTTCAGTTTCAGTTTTTTGAGCTTCCGTGCTTTGACTAAATCTGCGAAAGGCACAAATTCTTCGTCCGATTTGGATGAAGATTTTTTCCTAGACCTCGTTTCACTACTAGCCTTTTTTTGCGAACTTTTACTGACAGTATCTTTACTGCCTTTGGAATGTTTACGTTTAGATTTCTCCTGTTTCTCTTTACTAGAACTAACCTTATCGTTATTTGTCTCACACCTAGCGTTACTTTTTTCGTACACATCTTCACTAGTTGTGATGGAAGGTATCTGAAGATCACAGTCATAAGCTTTTTTTGCCGCTTTGGTGCAAAGAGTTGGCTTCGGTTGCTCAAGATCCAGCTGAATCTCATCTTCCAAGTTGAGGTCCATACCAATAATGATCTCACTTGATGGCTCTACAAAATCAGGCTCACCAATCTTTTCTTCGACGTCTTGGCTTTCCGAAGTCACTTCGTCGATCTTCAACGGATCACAAGCACTTAAATTATCTACAGTGTCATAATTATCGTTAAAATCTACAACTGTGGATGAAGAAAGTGGTACGACAGTGATCACTTTCTTTCCATTAACAGTGTTCACGTTTATTTCAACTAATTCGCCTGCAATCTGCAGTAAAATACTATTGTCCTCTACACGGATTACGTTACGGTATTGCACTTCTGGATCAGGTACTTCTGGGGTTTCTTTAGTAGACTCGTCTACTACTATATCTTCAGAGACGGCCAATCTATTTGACATACATGGAGAACATCTGCTGATATCCGTTGTATATTCTAAAACTGCATTGCAATCTAATGGGTCACTAACAGATTGATTTACGTTTTCTGAGTTGACAAGAATTACTTCTTCATTGACTTCATCGCGTTCAATGTCTCCCTCATGTATGCATTTTCCCTCTAAATGCTCTGTTTCCTTTGATTCTGAAACGTCCTTTCTATCGTCCCTATCAGTTTCAGTGTGGTTGACATCATTATTGGATCTTTCATTCTCCAAAGCAAAATTAATTGATGTGTCTTCCTTTTCACCTGAATCAGCGCTCCTGGTTACTTCTGCGTTAGAGTCTTTCAATGTGTCGTCAATAGGTTTTTCGTATTTATCAGATTTGTTAGAATTGCTTGATTGCTCATCTTTAGTCTCAGTTATTTTGACAATTGATACCTTACAGTTCTCGTTACTTTCGGATGTATTATTGACTTTATTTTCCACACTATCACTATCTTCACGCTGCTCCATTGACTTTTCACTTACCAACGATACTTTTTTACTGTTTTCGCTGGAACTTTGATCTGAAGCATTATCAATTGTATTTATTTCTAGAGGCGATACACTTTGGTTTTCTTCAGTTGCAGTTTTGCTCTGACTGTCGGTCTCATCGGTATTAATAGTTTCTTGCTTCGTCAGAGGCTCGCGGCTTTCCTCACTATTGTCGACATCAGATGTTACTTTAGTGTCAGTAGTATCGATTTCATTATGATCTCTTTTATCAGTCATATTTGACTGAGGTTCATCTCTATCGGTTTCGAAAGTCGATTCATGATTTTCTTTTACGTTACATGTATTATCCATATTGTCATCCAAAGTGTTTTGCTGTTTTTCATCTTCAACAACTTGATCCTCCAAAGCATTTTCTGATCCACTATTTTGAATTTTTAGATCAGCCGTACTGTTTTTTTGTACTTGGCCAGTATCAGCAGTTTCTCGTTTCTCACGAACCTCATTTTTTATACCTTGCTTCTCATCAGCCGCGTTTTCAGCTGAGTGATAATTTTCCAATGAAGCATCACTTTCATTGAAAGTTTTGTGTGTATTTGTATCAGAATGTTCCATTGATTTTTCATTCTGATATACCATGCTGTTAATATTGACATCAGTGGCAACTTTTTCATCTGTCTCCATTGGAGGATCTTCCTTATCACTTCCTAATTTCACAGCACTTTCTGAGTCACTTTCATCTTTCAGTTTATTTATTTCTTTTAGTTCATTATCAGTATGAGTTTCGCTAGTGTCTTCTAGATGTTCATTTTTATCCGCGATCTGTATGTCTCCATCTACTGACATGCCACTGTGATCTACGTCTGTATCCTCTATCTCTGCTAAGATTTTTTCTTTGAGTTCCTCCACCTCATTTTTCTGCAATACGTTATCAGGGGCATCCACAGTTATTTTAGTTAGCTCAAATACATTTTTAGTTTCTTGAGCCAGAAACTCTTTAGTAGCTTCAATGCAATAATTGTAATCACTGATCTTTGGTTCTTTGCATTTATTGAATTGATTGCCAATGTTGTTGATTATATCATCTACCGAAAAAATCCGCTTCGTCCTTCTATGATTGTGATCATGATTGTCGCTAGAGATTTCGGCATTGTACAACTGGTTTTCATTTTCTGTTTCAATTGTATCAGGCGTCGACTCATTGCTATTACCACCTTTCTCAGATTTCTTGTCACACTCCTCAATTTCCTCTATCTTCACTGTGCTTACGTCACCCATGGCATCTGCAAGCATCTCAATGGCTGTAGTATCATCTTTAATTGGTTTGTCTAGCTTGGCTTCATCTTCTTCTTGAGCAGTTTTATTGACGTCGAACTCCTCGATGGTAGGCATATTCTTCAATCCAGAGTCACTATCTGACATCTTAGTATCTAATTCCTCTTCAAGCACTTTGGTAGGATATATCACTGATTCATCTTTGTATCCTTCTAATTCAACTAAGTTTATCGGTGAGCAATTTTTATCGACAGTCTCCTTTTTACATTCTTTGATTATACTTCTTGTGAGCTCATCTTCGATCTTAGTTTCGTCATTTGGGAGCTTCTTTTCTTCGGGTAAGTTTGGATAGTTGGATTGAATAATAGTATTTTGGTGTATGACCACTCTAGGATTCTCTTCGAACTCTTCTAGTTTTCTTTGGTTTGGTTCATTTGGTTTTCCTGCTAGCATACAGTCGGTTTTGACGGTATCCATGATATGTACGTTAACGACCCTTTCTCCACTCTCTAGATCTATCTCACTTTGCTTGTTGAAAATCCTTAATCCTGAGGTGTTGTCCAGAGTCATTCCGTTTTTTATTATGTACTGGCCATTTTCTGATGTCACTTGCTAGAACAAGATGAAAAATATCGTTAATAAAACCGAGAATCTAAAGTACGCTCCACAATGTGATGTGATGAATCACATTTTAAATGATGGAGTATTGACTCGAACTGTCAAACAGAAAATTACGTTAATGATAAAGTGGAGAATTATTGGATCGCAAACAAAATATTGTGACAAAGGTGTATGAAGAGAAATTAGTAGAAACGGAAACGATTCATACTGATGCATGTCCAGCTGTTTGGAGAAGTTACTAATAAAGCTAGTCACTGTATTGATACTCAACACATGCAAAGAATATGCCAGTAAAAGAAGAAGATATACTCACCAAAGGTATTCCAGTTTCCGTAACTAAAGGAATGCCCGAGTTTTCGAAATATTGCAGCTCCGAGGCGTTGATCATATAGATCTCCGCTGATTGGTCCTCTCTCGGTATTCTTCCGACATCTTTGCACATATCCACCGTTTCCATTGGCATTTCTGTCACAGCCTCTTCCTCTGCCCAGTTCTCCAGGAATTGTTTCAAGTTATTCGAAACTGGAACTCGACTTTCCTGAATCTCAGTCGGGGGCATTTGGTGGGGAAGGTACTGGGTTTGTCTGAAATTTTAGATTTAATTAGAGATAATGTGCCCTGAAACGGAATATCTCTAATTGTGACACAACGTACAATGTCAATTTTGTATAATTGTTCGTTTACACATTTTTTGAATCCATTTTCTGTAACTTCACATTCTTGTCTATCAATATTACATCACTATATAATATATATATATATATATATATATATATATACAGGGTGACTTCGACGTTGAGTCATTTATTTTAACAGTGAGTAGATCTGATCAAAAGAAATGTTTTTTTCCTTTACCATTTTTCTGGTAAAATTAAAGTAACAAAGTTATAGCCCTTTGGAAGTTTGAGTACCGCCCTGTCTCAATAATAATATCATGTGCTCGTGTTTGGCAACAACGGATATAATCCGCCTTATCGGTTCATCGCATCGGAAACAAAAAAGCGAAAGAATTTGGAACAATGTTTTTACAATTATTTTATTCAGTTCAGTTATACATACAGTCAGTGTCAGTCGGTAAGGCGTGTGAATAGTGTCTGTTGCGTGGCTCAAACGAAATAAAAAATGGCACATGTTTATGCGGATCGGTTTCCCAATCGAGTGCAACCAACCCCTCGTGCCTTTGTTAATGTAGTACAACGGGCTCGTGAATCAGGTGACTTAAGACCTCACAGGGGACCTCACGATCAAATACAGGTCCGCACTGAAATACTTGTCGGGAGGATACTTTATAAAACAAGGTAAACATTTTTTTTTAATTTTTTTTTTTATTTTTACAGACATATTTTGGTTTATCTTCCTTCTACAATCATTATCTGAAAATTAATGACTCAACTTCAAAGTCACCCTGTATATATATATATATATATATATATATAATATAACAGTTTTGCAGATAAAAATCTATACCGACTCTAGTTTCCTAGTTATGATAATGACTATAATTTTGTGAAGTTTTCTAAATAACATATAATTTTTTTTATACTCAACTACTGTAGTTCCTCTAACGCAAAGTTAATCCTAGCGTATTTGTTTTTATTTAAAATGATTCTCATAGCTTTATTTTGTAGAATTTGTAATTTTGAAACTATGTTTTCATTTGCTGTGAACAAAATGGTTGAACTGTATTAAAAATTGGGAAGAATTATAGTGATACACAATTTTTTTGGAATACATAGTAAGATTGTGTGAAACTCTATAGAAGTAATTTTTTTATATATTTTTAAAATAATGTATTCATAATGCTCGTGAAGCAGTAGTTTACTATCCACATATATACCTAGATATTTAAATAATTTGCTGATTTTTTTCATCATTAATGTTTCCCTAGTAACATACATTTTTTTATTAGTGTTTAATTTGCTTGATTAATATTTAACCAATTTATATTATTTTAATAGCACTATTTAACAGTTCTAAAGCAGTGTCCAAATGTTTATGTGCTATATATATATATATATATATATAGGGTGGCCCACCCATGTGTGGACGGAATATTACTCATAAACAAATACATTTTGGGAAAATCTATTTATGGCATGTCATACATGACATTTGAGGGCATATTTATAAAATATTGGCAATTATACAGGGTGTCCCATTTTGACCTACATATCAAAGTTGTTATTTTTTTTGCATATTTGAATAAAACAATTCAAAAGAAGAAGATTGATATAACGTACTATGGGGTTTTGGTAATTAGCTACTGAGAAAAACCGTCCACTTCATTTTTGCTCATTACAGGGTGGTTAAAAACGCGAATTGTACTTTTACTAAAAAATTTCAAATGCATCACCCCGTATATTTGTGCAAGTTTGGATCCAATTTTTTATAAGCTTTTTTGGTATAACGTTTGATTCCGATAAAATGGCTAGACTTTGAGTTATCAAGTATCACCATACCGCAAAAGTCCGTTCTAGCTTACAACTACTGCATATTCAACTAGTCTCACCTGCAATGTTGTTGGTAGTACGCCTCCCTACTTCGATGCTGATAATGCTGAGCATACTCCTGCGACGGCGGATGCTGCCCTGGATACGCCCCTGGATACCCCACTCCCTTCTGCATAGGATTAGCATACTGACCTTGATGCGCCAAGTGGGGATGGTGATACGGAAGGCCATTGGTAGAGACGTCTCTGTCAGGGTGGTGGGGATATCGAGAAGTGGGCGGTGTTAAGGAATGATTGGAGGCGGAATCTCTCTCGGGGTGGTGGGGATATCGAGAAGTCGGTGACGGTAATGGATGGTGGGAGGGGCGTGCGTAGTTGCAACTCGATGGGGGCGGAGCGGCTGGGTGGTGATAGCCTCCGGGGTAGCCAGGGGTTTGAGACATGAAGGTGTGAGGCGGTGGGCCTGCGGCATACGGGGACGCCATTGGGGTGCCATAGTTCATGTATCTGAAAATAAAATAAGTAGCAATAGGGATTCCTAAGTCGGTATTATATCTAAAAATCAGAAAAAAGTAAAGACCTTGCTTTCTAGGATATAATATTTGAACAAAATGCAATGCATGAAAACAGTAAATTTTTAAGCCTAAGCCCCAAAAACTCTAATATACAAGTAACTGAAGGCCTAGGACGAAGTTCAACTTTTATTTTACATCGAAGCAGCAGCGGCGCCTTGGCATTTAGGCTTCTACCTGCGCGGTTAGTAGAACTGAGAAAAGCAATATCGACACCAGAAGGACAAAAGAGCGATCGTATCGGCCCGTTCTGGATGTACGCGCTTCGACACGGTTAGGATGAGAGGGGGAAGTCAGTCAGCTAATGACGAAATGTTTTCGTGCTAGATCAAGTCATCGGTCTTTGGCAGAACTCGACCATCCATCGAAACCGGATGAGCGCTAGGGCGACGCTTTTTGTTCGTCAAGGTACAGTACTGTGTTTTGTTTTGTCAGGGAGGAAGTCGCTGCTAGTCTTCTTTTCTCCAGCTCACCGGCAGAGATCGGCTTGTCGCTCTGAATTCCTGTATGTAGAGTGCTGTCACAGCAAAGCTGTGGATTGGGTTAATCGTAAAGGAAAGAAGGTCGCTGATATGTAAGAGAATCAGTGCCGGAGCCAAGACGGTGATATCAAGAGCAACGACATGAGCCTTATCGTAAGACCGGATGAGTTTACTCCATCTTACTTATAACAGAAAGCAGAGCTATATGCCTGTAGTTGTCAGGGTCAATCTGCGATCCCTTTTTTGGAACGGGTTGAACATGAACAAATTTGCATTTTTCTGGGAAGGTGCCGGAATCGTAAGATATCTGGAAGAGACGCGTCTTTCGGTCTTACGGCTGAATGTGACTTATTTAGTGTAAGGAACCCCTTGAATCGGTTACGATCGTTCCATCATGGCACGTAAGAGATGGAAGACTACCCTGTGAGAATTTCCTTTCAATCTACTTGTCAGCATCCAGAAAGACCGACTGCCATTGCGCTGCGGCATTGCTCTGTGCCTAATTTTTAAATCATGCTGATCTTTGGCATTTTGTAAAATTTTTTATACCGAAGCAGCCGCGCAGGCAGAAGCCTAAATGCCGGGACACCGCGGCTGCAAATTGCGGACCGCTTCGTTATATTTGTTTCTGGCTCGAAGTATGCCTTTAAACGAAAATACTGAATTCTATTTAGTTTATTTTTTTCTGCAAATTATCTAAGGTTTTAAAGATTTAAAAAAATGACGGAAGATAGACAGACCAGACCAGAGAGCCAGACGTCAAAGCCGTGCATAATTTAAATTAGTAATGACATCAATTATACTATTTCACACTGCAATTTGTGGTTTTGTTTCCATTTCCCGTGTTTATACAGTTGCAGATAATTGTTTATCAAATCGGCTTTTCCTACTCTCTCCTCTGTGTTGAGCGTACATTGAGAAAAACACAATTTGGTCGACAGTGATTTACCGACAATTATGCGGTCTTTGTGCATTTACAGCGCGATTAGAATGAGATCGGTTGACAAAATGCAGATTAACGTAAACAATTTATTGTGGTTAAAAAAATTGAAACTGGACATTCCTGCCTTCATAGCAGACAAAAATGGTATGAGTTGTCATTGGACATACTTTTTTTATTTCGGGAACGCATCTGCCTATATAAACAAGTGGGAATATAGAATCTATGCTATTAAGGTGGTTCTCAATGTAGTTTTGGCCCCACAAGTATCACCTCACTTTTTTCGTAAATCACATTTCCAAGCTCATAATGGATACCTTTCCGAGCGATATGAAATGATATGTTAATAATAATAATAAGAATAATATTTTTTTATTCAAAGAAATATGCGATGACATGCAATGCGTCATAAGAAAAAGAAACGACTGGTACAATGTACAAACATCAAAAAATATTTGAAATGCGACACTAGGATAAAAAAATACAAAAAGCGTATATTAGTATAAAAAATAAACGAGAAACTCATCAATACTGTAAAAGCAGCCTTCTAATAGCAATTTTTTTACGACGTAACCTCACGCTTGTCGGCTGGAAGCAGGTTAAAAAGCATACATCCAGCATAAACTGGAGAATCTTTATAGCAATGTAATACATGTGATAAAATTTATTGTTAATGAAATTCTTCATGTTTTGCGAATACTGTAATTTTGCATATCGGAATGTCTTTTAAATTTGTTTTTATATAAGAAAAATACACTAATAGCTTGAAAATATAAAGAGATGCCACAGTAAGAATACGATAACGTTTGAATATTTTATTTAAATTTATTTAAAAATTAAAAAAAGCTCTTTTCCAAAAACCACAACCTCGAATTCCAATCCTATTTAGGAGCATAGGTACCACTAGCGCCACTTTCAAGTTCTGGGTGCGCCATCTATTACTTTTTCTTTTACCTACAAGTTTATGTGTTACCATGTGAGTCAAAAGTCATATGGTATGCATAAATGAACTGTCAAAGGTAGGCCAATTATAACCTGGAATTCGTTGGATTGTTAATGGTTTTGAGGAAACTGGTTCAGCTGAAGGTCGTAGACCATAACAACATGCTCGTCCAGATCGTACTCGTGAAAACATAGCCGCAGTGAGTGAAAGTGTGCGAGAAGATCCAACCACCTCGAGTAGGCACCGTTCGCAACAATTGGGAATTAGTGAGACCACTTTACGCCGGATTTTACACATTGATTTACACCTCCATCCATACAAAATCCAACTAACACAAGAATTGAAGCCAGCAGACCATCAACAGCGGCGTGTTTTTGTTAAATGGATGCTGGAAAGAGTAGACGGATTTTCGGCCAAAGTGCTCTTTTCTGATGAGGCTCATTTTCACCTCAATGGGTACGTAAATAAGCAAAAATGCAGATTCAACCTCTCTATCCTGAAAAAGTGACTGTGCGAATTATGGGCTGGTGGCATCGTTGGAAGATTCTTCTTTGAAGATGCCGAAGAAAAGGTCATTACCGTCAACGGGAACGTTATCGCGGCACATTAACAGACTTTTTGTGGCCACAATTGGATCGTATTGGTGCCGATGATCCTTGGTTTCATCAAGACGGAGCAACGGCTCACACATCTCGCCAAACAATCGCCTTATTGCACACGAAATTTCAAGACCGCATAATTTCACGAAATTGAGATTTCAGTTGGCCCCCGAGATCGTGCTATTTAACACCTCTTGACTATTTTATTTGGGGATTTTTTAAAAGAAAAGTGCATGCGAATAGTCCCCGGACAATTCAAGACCTAAAGCGCAATATTCGGACAGAAATTGCGGCCATAGACCCGATTATTCTGGGAAAAGTCATTGAAAATTTTGATGTTTGGATGTTGGCCTGTAAACGAAGCCGCGGTGGTCACATGACTGCTGTTATTTTTCATACATAAACGGCATAAACCAACCTTCATTTATCAATAAAAAAAAATCGATTTCACCTCGGAAAAAGCGTGTTGATTTTTCAAATAGAAAACGAGTAATGATGACGCACCCTGTATATGTCCAACACATTTGCGGGTTGCTAGTTTTGTTGAAAATCCAGGCCGAAAACCAAACTGACTGAAAAGATTGTATTAGTGTTCAAGTAAGACTCAATCTTTATTGCAATGACTTTTTCTATGATCTTTGAGAAAATACTTAAAAGAGCCTTTGGCATGTAGTATAAAGGATCACCTTTTTTAAAAATTAGAATGATAGTAGCCAATTTTAATGCAGATGGAAGAGAGATACTAAAAATACAAAGCAAAATAGGTAAATCAAACATCAAACATATACAGGGTGGCGCATCGAAAACGAAATAGACGCATTTACTGGCAACTCAGTTTTTTTTTAAAAACGCTCATACCCGTCGATTTTGTTTTCGAGAGGGACACAAGTTTGGCAAAAAATCACGTTAGCACGTGCAGCCCCCTGAGCGGGGGTGACACCACCCCCAAAATCTTAAATGGAAAGGGGGGTCGAGTGATACATTATTTTAAAGGTCTTTCACTTCACTTTATAATGATATAAAATTAATGTACCCCAGTTCAGTAGTTTTGAAGATTTATTGACTTAAAGCTTAAATAAAACGAATACATCATCATTAGTGGAGATCAATACATTTGCAGCAAAGCAATTTAAAAATGAAGAATGAACTGACCCGTTAGACAAGTAAATGTTGAAAATGGCCACCATGACTATCCATGCAATAATAAAGATTTTGCTCTAAACGTTGCCGCACATTTTGCAATATTTGAGGAGTAATTTGAAGGCACTCATTCACAATTCTTTGTCGCAGGTCTTCTAATGATGTTGGCTGAGTAGCATAGATTTTCTTTTTCAAATGACCCCACATAAAGAAATCCAAAGGTGATAAAATCTGGCGATCTTGGGGGCCATTCAATGGCACCTCTTCTACCAATCCATCGATCTGAAAACGTCTGATCTAAATATTGTCGAACACGTAATGCGTAATGTGGTGGGGCACCATCCTGTTGGAACATCAACCTATTCGCAATGTACCGCCGATCATTCTGATTTCAATTATGGCTGTCAATGCAGGATCTATGGCGTCTTCCAGTAATTCCAAATACATTGCAGCGGTCAAATTTCCAGGTAAGAAAAAAGGACCAACTAAATGATCGCAAAAAATACCAGCCCAAACATTTAATTTTTGTGGCTGCCGTGTATGAACCTCATGATAAATTCTGGGATTAGAATCGGACCAATATCGGCAGTTATGACGATTTACTACGCCATTTAAGAAAAAGGAACATTCGTCGGAAAAGCAAGTGTTGAATAGAAAATGTTCATCGTTTATAATTCGTTCACTCATAACTTTACAAAATTGTAATCGCCGATCAAAATCGTCTTCATTAAGTTCTTGAACCAGGTGAAATTTAAACAGATGAAAACTAGGGGCCTTTAGAATCCGTTGGACAGTACGTCGACTAACACCACACACAGTCTTCAATTTGCGGGTACTTAACGTAAGATCTACATAAACTTGCCCTAAAACCCCCACTTCTATTGCTTTGTTCCTTATGGGATTTTAAATGTAGCGTTTTTTATTGGCGACTGACCCAGTTTCCCGAAATTTAGCTACAAGTTCTAGAACATATTTTCGATGCACGTTACTGTTCTCATGTCGCTCATTAAATATTTCTGCTGTTCTATTAACGCACTGGTTATTTCCGAAAAACATTTCGATAATTTCAACTCTTCCTGATGTGGAATATACCATGGTTAATTTATGTAATAAATCGTTACTAGGTATTTTAGCAACAAAGTTTCGTCAAATCAATCGCAAACTATGTACTAAATTCCTATTTAAAATAAGTACGAGATATTTCCTTATCTTTCTTCAAGAAATAACTTTTTTGCCACAAAAAACGCTCCAATAGCTATTTTCAACAACAAAATGATAAACAAACCATGGGCGTAGTGAAGAAAAGCATTTACTTATTAAGTAAATTATTTTAGTCAAATTTCTTCTGAAAGTAGTACAAACTAAACTAATGTACCTATTAAAGTCTACTTTAAGCTTTAAATCAATACATCCTCAAAACAACTGAACTGAAGCTCATGTATTTTACATCATTATAAAGGGAATTGAAAGGCCCTTAAAATAAGGTATCACTCGACTCCCCTTTCCATTTAAGATTTTAGGGTTGGTGTCACCCCCGCCCAGGGGGCTGCACGTGTTAACATGATTTTTTGCCAATCGAAAACCAAATCGACGGGTCTGAGCGTTTTTCCAAAAAAAAACTGAGCTGCCAGTAAATGCGTCTGTTTCGTTTTAGATGCGCCACCCTGTATATATCCAAGACCGTACCTCTGACTTTGCGCAGTGGCATACATCCTATTCTGCTCCATGCCCCCACCAGCAACCCCTCCAGGTCCCGGCCTATATCCTCCTCCAGCTTGCGCCGCCTCCTGCATATGATGGTCGCTCATGATGCTCCTCGCCATCGAGGGATGTATCCTCTGCAGCTTGGACAGAAAATCGTTCTCCCTCCTGCCAGGTCCTCCCGCATTCAGATAGTCTTGCTCTCTCTTCCCGCCCCCGGTCTGGCCGGCTCCCTGATGGTAGACAGCGCGAGAGGGCGGGGCCATGTGCAGGTCCGCGTAGGACTGGGGCGGCAGGGCGTTGCACATTGCGTCGGGGGGCCGGGGTTTGCCGGTTGATGGGTCTAGAGGGGATAAGCTGGAATCGAATAAGAAATAAACATGTTTGAGAGAGACGTTAATAAGACCAATGTTTAAAAAAGGTGATAAAAAATCTGTGAAAACTATAGAGTGATAGCCCTATTGAATGTTGGACCTGTATTAAGACTAGACTTTCATTGAAAATGTTAGGAAGAATAGGATAATACCAATGTGGGTTTAGAGCAGGAAGGGGAGTGGTGGACCAAATTTTTACGCTTAGAGAGTAGTGTTTATAGACTTCAGAAAAGCATATGATACAATCCGAAGATCGGCACTAAGAGTACCAGGAAATAGTGAAAAGATTATAAGGCTAATAAAGTTGCCACTTCAGGAAACGGAAAATAGAATAGAAGTTAAAGGAAAATATTCTGAAAAGTTCAGGTAAAGCTAAAAGTGGGGTTGCGGCAAGGGATCTGTTGTCAACAGTTTTATTCAACTATGTAATGGAAGATATAATCAGAGCAGCAAATTTAAATAGGAATGGTTTATTATACAATAGAAAGCACCAATGTTTAGCGTTCGCAGATGACATTGCAATTGTTGCTAGAAACAAAAGAGAAATGGTCTAATAATAAATCAGGAAAAAACTAAATATACGAGATGGACAGATGATGATTTTATGACAGGAAAAAGTCTAAAGGTAAAAACAGGCAGTGGCAAAATATATAATTTTGAAGAGGTCGATCACAAGGGAAGAAATCAAAGCAAGACTGGGGAAGGGAAATAGATGTTTATATAGCCTGAACCATCTTCTGAAAAGCAAGTTGCTAAGTAATAAACTAAAAATTAAATTATATAAAACAGTAAGAAGACCATCAGTTACATTTGCTTGTGAAACATGGGTCTTGAGGAAGGCAGATACAAATACCCTAGAAGTGTGGAAAAGAACGGTATTAAGGAAAATTTTTGGAGGGAAACAGAACAATGGGGTATGGGAAAGAAGAACAAATCAAGACCTTGCAGATATGTATAAAGAATCTAGTATCATAGGATATATATAAGAGCACAAAGGTTGAAATGGTTAGGGCATGTAGAAAGGATGGCAGAAAATAGGATTCCAAAAATGATTGTTAGCAGAAGCATAGGAGGCAAGGAGAGGAGTGGGAGACCGAAGGAAAGATGGAAGAGCGAAGTAGAAGCTGATCTGAGAAGCTTAGATGTACAAAACTGAAAATTGATGTGACAAAATAAAAAGAAATGGAAAGAAATTACAAGTAAAGCCTTGGGCCTTTCAGGCCTATATATATATATGGGTGTCCGCAAAGTTGGGGTTTTCCTTTTCAGAAACAACTACCCTTGAAATAACAAAGGTAATGTGTAGTGAAACGAGGGCGACCAAGTAAAAAAAAAATAAAGGAAAAAGTACTCATTCTCCAGTTGACGAGAAGGGCTAAGTACGTCTCTGCCCGAAATCATACCGCTCCAACAGAAAATGAAATCAGCTGATGCGCTACCGAGCAGATGCCGGCAGTGGTGCAGACCACGAACAGAGGTAACAAATATGACCATCGTGCAGAAACCACATTGATTGTCTTACACTTAATGGCACATCTTCTAACAAGGAAGGCAAAATGTTGCGTAAAAAGTCTAGATATTGCATCCCGTCCAATCGATTTGGGAGAATAAATGGTCCAATGAGCATACCGTTCACCATGCCAGCCCAAACATTCACCGAAAATGTTTGTTGAAAATGTGCCCGACGGACAGCGTGCGGATTTTCTACTGACCAAACATGAGTGTTGCGAAAGTTATTCACCCGATTACGCGTGAACGTAGATTCGTCTGTCACCAATATGCACTTCAAAAAGTCCGGATTATTGTCATGTTGATGCAACAACCACTCACAAAAACGCACTCTTGCTGGAAAATCGTCAGGTTGAAGGGCTTTTACACGTTGGACGTGAAACGGATACTTGCACTTCTTTAGCCACGTCTCTAGTGCTTGTTGAGGGATTCTCGTCTACGCGATTACCTCTACACGCGTGACCGTAACCGTCGGTTGAAGGCTGCATACTGACCTGACACACTGACCCCTACCCAGTTCTGTCGTCGGGTTGAGCTAGTGTCCTAGTACCACTCGGGGATGTCGCGAGTCGCGGCTACAGGACGGTATTCAGATATTTTTGATGTTGCAGAGCCCTTTATCTCGGTTCCCTTAAGACATTGGTGTATATGGTACTAAGAAAAATTGCTTATGTTTTCAAGATCTACACGTCGTGTAAAGGAAAACCCCAACTTTGCGGACCAATATTTCAAGGGTAGAAAGTACGTCCAAGAATAACAGAAATTGTTCCTAAAATATGGTCCCTTTAATACCCTACCGAGATACAGGGTTTTATTACGAAATTGATAAAACATATCTACCGAGTATGTAAAGATTTTATACGCTGAGTTAATACATCATAAGTAATAAACACACAGAGTTTCCGGCAGGGTTATTACGTAAAAAACCTAAATAATGTCAGAAAAAACCGATATAATGTCAACTTGAGGAATAAGTAGGCTAGTGTGCAAATACAGTGAAATTTTTCTTCGCGCATACCCCTTTTACACGGACACCTCCCTTAAACTGACAGTTTCTCATGATCCCGACCGACTCTCATATAATTTGCATTGTATTAACTCTCTCTTGGGCGGATACAAAAAGGCATGTACCTCAACATTGGGCTTTTACCAGCATGGTCTAGACTGATGAGTAGCCAAGATGCAAGAATCAGCTGTCCATGGTTGGCTGTCTTTTGGTCGGACGAGAGAAAGCATCATATTTAGTTTATTCAATGGCAAGTAGACCATATCTACTTTACAGCTAGACTCATCAGCCATCTAGCGGTCTCATGGTGACTGGACTATTAAACGTGAACTGATATCTTTACATTTCCAATAAATAGCAGCTATTCACTCAAAAATCGAAGCGAATACATTTTTTCTACTAGCGTGCGGAAAGTACTCACTCTCAACACGCATCTGCATGCAGAAAGTAGCACTTTTTCGCACGCATAACTTTTCCACACTCATTACGTGTTACTCTTGTTAAATTAAAGTAAAAGGTTTTCATAATCCAAACAATTGTTTTTTTTTTACTTTTTTGTTGTCAATAATTATTATAAATGATTTATTGATGTTTATTTTACAATTATTTTCAAATTTCTAATAAAACATGGTACGTATTTAAAATTCTGGGTTTATTATCCTCTCGCGCTGCGCTCTTAGAAAAAATCTTATACCTAACACTTGCGGAAAGTGTATTTTACGCCCCTGACATGCTTAACTGCCGTCGCGAGCGGAAAAGTATCACTTTCCGCACTTGTTATGTAAATAACTATATACTTTTGATGGGAATCACATTACCTACCTGTAATCCTGATATTGTGCGGAATACCTATAGCAGTCAGACGGTCTCGACAATGAGGGGTAGTGATTGTGGGGTGCTACTCTGGCTACATGCTGGTTTTCGTTTATCACGGACGTGTTGCCGTCTTGCAGAGCTTGCTTTTCTTTGCGGAATTGCCGGAGTGAGGTTGTTACACTGCCTACATTTGACTGAAACAAAAAGAGATGATTACGTCAAGTTCATGACCTAAAATGGCGCTCCAATCAGCAAAAATCATTTCTAATTCTTGCATCTGTGCATTTGTTCCTATGACGAGTTTCGATAATAATAATACTTTATTGGTGTTACAACACAAATTTGCTTATACATGTCAAAATAATACTTGTTAAAAAGACAGCACTGCCTTGAGGGGCATTTAGAAAACAATGGACTGTAACACATACATGCAAACAAAGCGCAAAAGCGAAAAAGGAAAATAAATAAGAGGAGCGACACGACCTCAAAGGCGGGACGGAGCGTAATAAATACAAACTAGCGGAAAAATCGGTACACAGTAAAATAAAACATTAACACATGCGCAAACGCTGGACCGTCTGAAATAAAAATTATATGAACATATACGGAAGCATAAATATAACAAAATTTATTTGTCAAATATTCATCAATACAGAAGAATGCCTTTCCTCTTATACAGGGTCTCCCGAAAAAAGTGTGCAATATTCTACCAGTGGTTTCTGAAGCTTAAAATAGGAAAAAAAGTTTAGGTCGACAAACGTCCCTTACGGGCGATACGGCCTTTTAAAGGGGCTCCCCTGACAATGCTTTTTCCTTAATATTTCCGAAACGCGTTGAGATAAAGACATAAAATTTGGTATTCTACCCTACTTTTTTACGCAGGATTTAAAAATATTAACAATTTTAAACAGTTTTGTTTGGAAGCGTATGTAACAGGGACGGACTCAGGTTATATTAGCCCCAAAATTTTTGTGTGATTCTATTTTTGAAATTCAATTTTAGACTTTGAAAATTTTGGGTTTTCTACATAAAAAAGGTACTCTTATTGAATATCGATAAATTTTGCCTTTTTGGAATAAAATCAAACTAAAAAATTTGTCACATGATAGGAAATGTACTGCGAATTTAAATGAATTGTTGATAATACATAGTTAGCCATGACTGCAAACAAAAGCTGTTTTGGAAGTATATCCAACTGTATGTCTTCTTCTTTAAACAAATTTCAATTGCGTTCGTAGAAAAAAATTATTTCTTTTGTTTTTGCCTAAATGTTAGCTATGTTGCAATAGAAATATGTATTTATGTAATACTTATCAATTATTAAATTAGTTTTTTCGTTGCCATGGCAACAATTCATTTAAATTCGCAGTACATTTCCTATCATGTGACAAATTTTTTAGTTTGATTCTATTCAAAAATGGCACAATTTATCGATATTCAATAAGAGTACCTTTTTTATGTAGAAAACCCTAAATTTTGAAATTCTAAAATTGAATTTCAAAAATAGAATCACACAAAAATTTTGGGGCTCAAATAACCTGAGTCCGTCCCTGTTACATACGCTTCCAAACAAAACTGTCTGAAATTATTGATATTTTTAAATCCAGCATAAAAAACTAGGCTAGAATACCAAATTTTATGTCTTTATCTCAACACATTTCGGAAATATTAAGGAAAAACCATCTTCAGGGGAGCCCCTTTAAAACACCGTAGCGCCCTTAGGGGACGTTTATCGACCTATGGTTATATAAACTTTTCTTCCTATTTTAAGCTCTAGAAACCGCTGGTAGAATATTGCACACTTTTTTCGAGATACCCTGTATATGTACATATATATTATACTTTGAGTTTCATGTGGAACACGCTAAAAAAATTAACACCAAAAACATTTGCCCCGTTTCTGGTATTGTCAAAACGATGGCTATTAGGACAAATGTTATTTCTATTGCGCGTTTCATAACTGTCATAAACTCTAGTTTACCTTAACTGTCTCCAAATACTAACACTTGCAAATCTCGGAGAGACGTTTCTACAAGAAAAATACGTTCTCATCTATCATTCTACGTAATGTTTATTGCTGTATGTACGATGCAGAACTGCCTCTTTGCCCAGCGAGAAAAGTCAAGTGCTTCCCGTTAGGCCCTTCTTTCAGTACCTAGTGCGTAGTCATAGTTTATTAGGCGTGCAGCTGTGCCGCTTGCACACTTGTCACAGCCCATAAATCCCTCTCAGGTTAGTGAAGATCATTATACTTACAATAGTGATATAATAATACATGTCTTTATTGCATCTTTAACGTCACAGCATCACATTAAAAAGCTTGATGCAAATGGCGGAGTCTAGCCATTGGCCAATCTACGCAACCAATATCTGGAAATATGTAGGTATATACAAAAAGTGTAAATTAAGTATATACTATAAACTATAATAATGTCTTTTATTTGATAATAAAGTATTAAATGTTTCTGAAATTTTTGTGTTAGTATACATAAAATTTTGTTTTAATAGTGACTTAAATGTATGATGATTTGCTGTATTCCTAATAATGATCTCCAATGCATTATAATATAATATTATGGTGGCTTATATGAATAAGAACGCTGAAACATGGCTGCGCAATGTATTGGCATGGATAATGTACTCATAGTAGATCATGGCTTATGGTGTCGAATGCCTTACTTGAAATCGAGAGAGACCAGAACTATTGCCCCCAAATTGGAGATTATATCGTCTATAACATATAGTGCAGAATCAGTGCTACGGCGGTTCCGAAAGTCGAACTACTCCTCAGGCAATATATTGTTAGTAGAAGTAAACTCTAAAATTTGTTTGTGGATTATTTTCTCTAATAATGGTCAAAGACAAGGGAAACGAATGTGACGCGGTGCGATAGGCGACGCAGGCAGCCCCATCCCGTGCCCAGGGCATAATGTACGGCTATTGTTTTGGATAACCTTACTTATTATTATATTTTAAATTAAGAAGCGATTGCGCAGCGAGCCCGCGCACCCTCTAAGTTCAACCTCAGACATCATTGTCCAGTCTGTTACTAACATTACACTTCACGTTTTGTTGCTGTTGGTTGTGTGGTTCTACTACTTTGTTTGTCGCCAAGTCGCCCGCAGATTGCGAAGTGCGCTAAGTAATACGGTTTTTAAACGCAAAAAGTTACTTCTGCTGACAGTGCCTCCTGTCTACCGCCATATTTCTGCTTCATGACAACGCTCGGCTTCACGTTGCGGCAAGAACACGCACGCAACTCTACCAGATCCATTGCGAGTTACTGGATCATCCACTACACCACCCTGACTCAGCACCATCAGATTTTCATCATTTCGAAAGCACTTGGAAAATGGTGACATGTTGAGAAAAACAGTCAAGTCAGACGTCAAGGTTCAAAAGCCAGTACCACGACTTGGAAAATGTTTAAATGTGAATTTATGGTAGTCACCATAAACGAAAAGATAAAAATTTTCTGACTCCATTACTTAAAAAAAGTCTGTCAAACCGGTCCATTCAATCATTCGATAAGAAGATAATAGAATCATAAATATGAGAAAACAGCAATCCCACCTTACACACGTTCTAAATGCTACCCTGTACGTTTTCATTTTTATTACGAGGGTAGTACATAAACAACTTGGCAAGGGCTTCAATCTCGGGATAATTTTAAAGCCACTTACTTGGTGACGTAACGACAGGGGAGTTGTGCTTCGTCGCCGTGAGATAGGGACGAATATCTGGGTCTGGCCTAACTGTAGGAAAACCATTTTAAATACCTTCCATATTCTAGCGACTCGTGACATGCACAACTCTACTGTCTATTCATTATGTCAATTAGCTATCTCGATACTGATCATAAAACAATATGAGTCCCTTCCCACTTCAGTTGGCCCAACTAATGAAATTTTAGTTTTTTTCTTATCAAACACAAATAATAAAAATGTAGCAGGGTGTTATAGGATTAAAATATTAACAATAAATATTCTTATATATATAATCTTTCAATTGTTGCTTTTATTCGCACATTGTTTATTTGCTCAGATGCTCTATTAGTTATAGGTCTGAGTGATTTCAAATATGTATTTTTTATGACTAGAGTGTATCTAAAATGTTTTTGAGAAAATAAATTGTTTTAGAAGTAAATAGTTTCGTCATGTTTAGTTTATAAAGGCATATTGTGGTATAAATCTTGAAGTGGGCCAACTGAAGTGGAAAGGGGCTCGTATAATAATGGCCATGATATTTCTCAATTATATTATCAGAAATTGGGAGAACGGTAGCATCCTAGCGCATGAAACTCACCCCCGTGTCCATAACCAGGGAACGGTAGCTTCCTACCGCATGGAAGTCACGCCTGATAAGAAAATATCTCGCACGAAGGAACAGTAGATTATTACAGCATGACAATCGCCCCCGTGTCCATGATCAGGCCATGTTTTTGATTGTTACGAAAAGCAGTCCAGAAACCAGGATATCACGTTCCCGTGTCAATACCCAAAAGCTACGACGTTACCTCTGATTCAGAGATAACCGAGCAGACAGACAACTTTAAAGTAGTAAAAATCATTATGAGATACTTTCGGACTCCAGCGATTACCTCGAGAGGAACCTAGACGGTCACGCAGAACCAGGATACCACGTCGGCCAATGGCCGTTGTGTCCAATATTCAAAACGCTCCGACATTTTCCCTGACAGAGGAAACCGAGCAGTAATTCCTCCGGTGGTAACCCGGCTCTGTAAGTCTCATAACAGCCTCCAGGATCTGGAGGCGTCACACCTCTGTAGACGATTGATTCTAAGTTAAGTCTCACTTTACCTTAACTATTGATGAACGTATCTCATTGACTATTTTTGACTTATGACAACACAAAACAAAAAGATACTCAGTAAACACCCTCACAGTTTGATTGAACGAACCTTGACCTGAACTTGATATGGGCACTATTCACAAAATCACGACACACAGACACTTCGACCTTTCAACTGTTAGAACAATATTCGAATGAACTAAGAGGGCTGACGCCTCAGCGTGCCCTTGGTTTCACGAATACGCGTGAAATTTAACAGGGTCGTAAGTGGTTGTTGAAATGTGTATGCCAGCAGTGCCTTTCTTAGCATTCCAAGTGTCAAGTGAACTTGCTGAAAAGTGTCTAAAATATTTTGTAATATGTAGTTTCGCCGAGATGGCCT